ATAGCAGGCGACTGGCATTATTCAGAGTATGAAACAACTTGAAATATTCCATCTGTGCCAGACGATTTCACAGGCATTATGCAGGGAAATCGGGACGACTACTGATGGCCTTCTGCGGCGTCGCCCATTCTTCGAACCTCGACCCTCCCTTCGGAGACATTCGACCGTATCGCCACACGCCCCCACTCCGACGTCCTCTCGTTGCAATCCCCGCCGGTCGTATCATAATAGTGCAATCAACGCCAAATAAAATAAAAGACATACACGCAGTATGGCCGCTCTCCCGACGGGGTCCGCGGCCATGGCCTCTGGAATCGTATTCCTGTTTCTTGCCGCGCTGAGGCTGGCGTCTTTTTCATTGGTCAACACGCCGTTCAGCGCGGTCGATGCCAACAACAATACACACACACAAATACACACAGACCACGACACACGCACCATTTGATGAGAAAGCGTGTTCGCCTTCTTTTTCGCGCCACAAAGACTCACGTATCTTCATTGGACAGCATAGTGCGTTCGATACGGATTAAAGAGACACCGCAAAGACTTTCATCCAACACACCCCCTTCGACTGCTGTGGTGTTGTCTAGAACCGATAATCTTTCTGTGACATACGTGTATTATCTTAAAAATAAAGACGCACACAATAACACACACGCTCCCCCATGACGCCGCCCCCTCACGGGGTCCCAGATCATGGCCTTTAGAAGCATTTCGTGATTTCAACCGCGCTGAGACTTACGCCTTTTCATTGGTCAGCAGCCCGTTAGCGCGGTCGATGCCAATAAACAAACAAACACACACACACACACACATCCGCACCTTGTTCATGCGAGTCCGGTGCGCCTCGAGCTCCAGCAGCTGCCTGTCCGTCACCCCCACGTACCGGTCCAGCGGCCGCCTGCTCCCGGGCGCCAGCACGGAGCCGGAGAAGAGCGGCGCCGCGGGCGGCGAGCAGGGGAACAGACAGCCGGACAAAGCCTCCGTGCCGACGAGGGCGCCGGGCCGCAACTCCCCGCGCTCCAGGGCCTGCTTTCCCCCCCAAAGCGTCATGTCATAGCGGTTAGTCGTGGTGGTGGTGGTGGTGGTGGTGGTGGTGGGAGGAAGGACATGGCGAAAAGGCAAAATTCACAGGCCGTGGATAGTGCTCGTGGCCGCGGCGGTGGCGGTGGGGGTGGTGGAAGGCAGGAAACTATGCGGCGAAAAAGGAGCGCGAGGGAGGTGCGTGGCCGGGTGAAAGAGGCGCGGATATTTGCTGGCTTCCATTTGGCCAACAAGAAAAGAGCCACGAGGTAAAAACAAAACATGCAAAAAAGAGCTCTATATGTGAGGGGCGCGGAAGCCGCGGCCGTTTGATGGATGGGTCTGCAATGCCTATTCAGCTGCGAGCAGACCTAAGACAACCGTGGAGCTCTGCAGCTTTGACGGGTCCAGCAAGCTGTCAAGGCGTGCGTGGACAGTTGGTGTATTTCTCGCGTATGCCAATATCGCGAAAGATACAAAAGCTCGCTTGTTCCTGCTTTCAGAACAAAACGCTTCTGTGCTGCCGTACTTGTAGTACTACCCTTTCGGATAGAAACCAACTTTCATATCCTCAGGATGACCCACGGCGAAGACCACCTACTGGTACAAAAGAGTACACAGCGAGGGGGATCCAAAATATCACTCCACGTCGCAAGAAAACGAGTCTGTTCTTACAGAAACGAAACAAGTTTATCATCCCTCATCCATCCGGAGACAAAGAGTCCAGCATAACATTGTAGAAACTCGCGTTATACTTACACTCTTTTTGCAGGGGGAAAAAAAAGGTCCAATCCGGCGAACGCACAACTCGGGTACCGACAGGCACATACGGCCGTTTTTTTGTGCCCGGGAAAAAGCACAAAGTGTGTGAGGACAACCGCCGTGTTTTTCTTTTATTAAGCGGAAACCACACAAAGAGATAAAAAGAGAACACGAAGAAACAGCACCGCACAAACTACGAACACACACAACAGCATACAAGTGGCTCACCCCCGCATCATCCCCGCCCTGTCCCGTGGGCAGCCCCGCCTCCTTAGCATGCAACACCATGTCGGCAATGTCCTGGGCAAGCCAGCAACACAGCACCGGCGAGAGCGAGCGCGGTGCGGGAGAGAGCGAGCACCGTCGACGTCAGCATGTGGTGGTAGCGATGGTCGTGTAGTGGTTCACGGCGTTGTTTTGTTGTTGCCTCATTGGGTGTCGTCACCGTGCGAGTTCTAAACAGCCCCTCTTAACTGCTGTCCTTACCCACGCTATTGTACGCACACCACGTTGTCACTTGCTTGCTGGTAGGGTTGCCTGTCTGTCTTGTCTTTCTGTCTCTGATTGTGTCTCTGTCTACAAGCAGAGCCATCCTTCCTGACACATGTGACAAAACACCCCAAAATACCGCACACAAGGCAAAAACGACCGGCAACAACACCAACAGCAACAATATCAACAACGACGACAACTATGACAAGGTGACAGGAGAAGATCGATACACAAACGGAGCGTGTGAACATCGGACAAAGGGCGCTCGAAAATACCACAAATACCCCACACACAAGGAAACAACAACAGAAACAGCAACGACGACATGGCGGAACGCGATGTTCGATACAAACCTGGAGCGTGTGAACATCTGGTGAAGGGCGTGCGAAATATCCCAAAGCCACCAGACACAAAGCAGCAGCAGCAGCAGCAACAACACAACAACGAACAACAACAACAACAACAACAACAACAACAACAACAAACATTAACACCGACACCAACCACACAACAACAAACACAACAACGAGGTGACACGTGATGATCGAAACAGACCTGGAGCGTGTTGACAATGGTGCTCGACGGGGTCCAAGCATCGCTGCCGGGCAGACTCAGCAAACCATCGCCGGACAGGATCGAGGTGGGCATGACGTCGTCCCCCTCCAGCACGCGGATCACGGGACACTCGAACGGGTACCTTTGTAAAAAAAAATAATGGGACACCACAAGAAAGACAATGGAAAACACACACACACCAAGTCTCAATAATTGTACTTGTGAATAGAGAGACGGGGGTGGGGGTGTAACGGAAATAACGCCGCATCATTTGTTTGAACGCGCATCACGGACCCCCCTCAAGCGAGAATAATTTTCGACAAAAGGGGGGAGGGGTCAGGCACACGTAAACGCATCCACGGCAAACCAGGGAGAAAAGAAAGCACGACATAGGAAATACCGCACATTTACAAATGGAGCAATTCAAACGCGTGCCGAAGGCTCGAAAGGATCCCGCCCCGTGGAAACACTGGAACCAAACGCCAAACAACCAATACAGACAAGCAAGCAACGCCAGGAGGCGCGGATCGAGTGGGGTGCTTCAGTTGGAACACCAGATCAACTCAAGCAAGCACCACCCTACCAAAGCGTCACAGCAAAGAGTGTATTATGTCGCTCCCCACCCCCATATCCCCCCGTCTCTCATAGCCGTAAGTAGCGGCCTCGCACCTAGTATCGAGACCCAGATCCATCTCAATCTTAAACCGCAGCAGCTCAGGCGCCGCCTCCGCCGCCGCTGATTCTGCGGATCCCCCCCCCTCCCCTTCACTACCATCCTCGTCAGCCGCCGGCGGCGGGTGTTCCCCGTCGATCTTTCCTTCCGCAGGGGTGGGGGGTGACGCAGAATCAGCGGGGTCGCTGTCGCCCGCCTCCGACTTCTTCCCGCTGCCGTCCACCTTCTCCTCCTCCTCCTCCTCTTCTCGTTTTTCTCCTCTGCTACACAAAGTAGTGTGCACGGTGTCGAGTCCAAGCACAGAGGTTTGAGGGAGGAGATCAGGTCACAGAGGCCTGGTCAGGATTGTTTTCTTCCAAGTCGTCTCCTTCGCTTGTTTCAGCAGCAGTCGCTCGCATTTTCTACGTGCCCTGCGGCCTGCCTCTCTCTACTACTGCTGTTGCCGAAGAAACTCCGAAGCGGAGTCACGACCTCTGTCTGCGGCGCGCATCTCCGTTCTTAAACGTCATTGGGCGGGTCTTAACGCGCACACGCTCCGGGATATGAGACAAATAAGCAAACATCGAGAATCGAGCTTATGGACCACGCGCCGGGGGGGAGGTGGCAGACCACACACAAGTGTCTCCTCAAGGTCTCCTTCTTCTTTTAAAGGTTTTTCGAGAGACGAGGAAAGCGCTACTACCAAGAGGGTGGCTTAAGAAAGACGCGTGTTCGGTGAGGAAAACGTTCATTACGCCGCCCGTGGCCCTGCGAATACAAGCAGCCATGCCCCAACCCGAACCGTTACACGCGATGTGTGTCCAAAAACTGTTTCTGCTTCCGCAGTGCCATACTCAGCAGCCACCCCTCTCTCTTGCCTCATATCTCAAAAGTCTCTGATCCTCGTGCGCCAGCAACGCTTCCGCCGTTCCACCTGACCACCACCTCCGCCACCACTACCACCATGATCACGTGTGTTCGTCACCATAACCACCTACTACTACCTACCACCACCACACCGAACGACCACAAAAAACAGTGGCGGCAGAAGTACCAACCCCCCCCCACCCATCTCTCTCACCTCCCCTCCTCCTCCTCCTTGCCCCCGCCCCCGCCGCTCGCCGCCGCCTTGAGAGCAGCCTCAAAGAAGGCCTTGCACACGCCGGACTCCGGCTCCATGTCGTGGCTCGAGAGCGAGATGCCGGCGGGGAGGCGGGAGTCTATCCCGTCCAACTCCTTCAGGAGGCGATTCGTCCATATCTGCTCAATCAAGCCAACAACGGAGTACCACATAATAACCAAAAGGTCAAGCGTGATGGCCGAGGCCAGGTGTTTGGATGGATGGATCGGGGAAGAGAGCGTGTGCTCTCACTATCACGCGTATCACGCGCGTGGTAGTTGGCTTGTGGTCTTCTACTACTGCTTCCGTTCTACGATGGAGACGAGGCTCTTGTAGCCGCCAAGTTCGCGGGCTGGCTTTCGCAAGCGACGAGGTGCAAAGAGAATCGCCTGAAGAGGGAAAGGGGGATGTGTTGCATTTTTTTGGGGGGGGATAACACATGCTCGTATCGACCCCCCGTCGTATTCCTACTGCCGCGCGCGTGGTTGCAGCAACACATAAAGCCGCCCCTTGAGCTCAATCAGTTGAACAAGTGCAACTCTACGCGTACTGCCTTGTGTATGCAGCAACGAAAGACCTCAAGGCGCCGCTTTGAGCTAAATCAGTGGTACTTCGAAGTATAATGTACAATGTAGCTCTACGAATGACGCACATTTGTCGGGCGGAAGAGATGAAGGTCGACACGTTTGGACAGTCGGTGTACGTGAGAGTGGGCCGGGGGGCACCGTGTGTGTGCCTGAGAACACCGTGAGGGAAATTCTCCCAACTTTTCCAACAAGCGGGACCGCCTTCGCGAGATTTGTAAGCTAATAAGGAAATAGAACAGGGAGGGGATACGCAGACCCTATTCCCTAACGCATACCCAAACCTAGCTTCCCCGATTGTATGCTTTATCCAACATGTTTACGTGATCGAACACCCCTGCGAAAGCTACTGAACAGACGCGGGCTATCACCGTAAACGTTAAATCTTGGGGAGATATCGTTTGTGAAGCAACGTGACTGATCCCTGCGGCTGGTACTCGCGTGCGGGTGAAATGCCGCACGCAACACCTTGAGCAACGTTTCCGGCTGCCCCTGACACGCACACGCTTCGGTAAGTGTAAAAAGCGACAACTCCTACAGCAGTATCAACCGCCCTTTCTCAGTCCCTCACTCGCTCTGAAGAAAACAACTTTTTGGAGTTGTACGGCAGAAGCAATATCACGGACGGCCTGTTGCCCTGCTCGGGAATACTCTCAAGGCGGGTAAATTGATCTCGTTATTACCGCTAAGATTCAACGAGACTTACTGGATACGCTCCTTCCGTCTGTGAAAGTCTGGCGAAACAAGTCCTACTCTCCTACAAATCTGTTGTGCGGAGGGATTATGGTACGTAACATGTGCTTCCACACTCCAAAGCCCAAGGTCGAAGTGAGAGTCGAACAGGCTCTCTTTCTGACTTCAACTCAACGGAGAAAAATGTGGTGTGTGTGCAGCTACTACAGCAGTACTGCTTGCAGACAAGTAAAACCACGATATTCGCACCCTGCTGCTACTGCTGCTGCTGCTGCTGCTGTTGCTGCCACGCCCATTCACTCTCTTGACCTGCACGAGGTTTTCCGGTGACTTCGGCACAGAGCCAGTCGAGTCGCAAGACCACATCACTATTATTAGCAAGTACGATTGACAACCATCCTCATTGCTGCCTGGCGCGTGCCTACTTGCCGGAGGGGAGAACGCAAGTTAAAGCGGTTGTCAGGACAGACATGAAACCTCTACTGTGCGTTTCTTGTGCTGTAGTAGCCTGGCCGATGATACACGACACAGCGGCAGCAGGGCGAACGTGCCTACTTGCGGTTGTAACCCGACTGCCCGAGACCCGAGACCCAACAAAGGACGGGGAGTCCCGGCCATTTTACACACGAGGAATGTACATGTGCTAGCCTACCTGCATTGTCACCATCCCCGGGACGCGTCTTCTTCAAATTGTCGAAGGCGATAGATACCAACCCTATCCACGAGCAGTGCGTCGCGAGACAGGGTGCGTGTGTGCGAGGAGTCAGCACACGCAAGTGCCGAGGAGGGAATGCGAGACACTGAGCGCTGGGGGCCCCGCAGTTGGCCGTCGTTGCCCCAAGTTTCTGCTTTGGGTATTTTCGAAAGTATACACAAGTTTCGTTTTTTCTCGCCATGTCGATCAATTCTGGGCGCACCTTCGTTTCTCTAGTGGCAGAAGATACCCCAGGGCAGTTCCGCTGCTCCCAGAGAGTTTGGAAGGTCGCTTTCTTACTTAGACCGATAGCACCAAAGTATCCTTATCAATGCTCTGACATCCTCCCTATGATATAAATACCCAAGTTTTGCCACCGTAAATAGACAGTATCAAGACAGGGGTTCCGTAGCTCAGTGGCAGAGCGTGCGACTGTTAATCGCGAGGTCGAGGGTTCGATGCCCTCCGGAACCGTTCTTTTTCGCCAAAAAAATAAAAATCGGAAGAGATGGAAAGGGTCACCACTCCCTACCCCGGCTGTCTGTGTGTGCTGTTTGTTGTTGTCTTCATCACACGAAACACCAATTTCAGTAGTACCTAGGTGTAATGGAGCAACTAGTGTATTTGCATTGTACGAGCGTTTCATGAACGTTGTATGAGCGCTTATTGGATATTTTGAATTTTCTTTGGATATGGATATTTGGCGACGTTTCAAAATCCCAGCCCCGCTCTCCGAGTGGGCGCTGAGCGGACCTGGTCTAAGAAGGCTAAACAAGAGATCAAACAACAACTGTGAGTACCCGAAGCCAGGAGCAACGAGCTTGCTCCCTTCCCTCTTTTATTTCTCTGTTCCTCCATAACATTGTGGCGTCGTCTGCAGGACAGAGATCAAATAACGTACGGTTACGGAATACACTTTTTAATGCGAAATAAAGAAAAGAGTCAAGGAAGGTTGCGGGTTGATTTGGTGTATGCTTATTATGCTACGAGGGGTTGCCGCCTCCATGTTGTGGACCGGGGCGCTGTTCGCCGTTATCACACTCACAGGGGTTCCGTAGCTCAGTGGCAGAGCGTGCGACTGTTAATCGCGAGGTCGAGGGTTCGATGCCCTCCGGAACCGTTCTTTTTTGCCAAACAAAGAAAAATCGAAAGAGATGGAAAGGGTCACCACTCCTTCCCCCGTGGTATGACCTACCCCGGCTGTCTGTGTGTTGTTAAGGAGGACCCGATTCGCAGGGTATGCGTCGATTGACTTTTACCAGAATCGGTACACCTTCGCATATGGCGTCAGGGGCAGGATACTGGTAAAGAACCTTGTGACACTTCCATCGAATTACCCGTCCTGGCCACAAGAGGTTCCCAGTTGAGGGTAAATTCTGTGGGTGGAGAGTGTTAAGGAGGACCCGATTCGCAGGGTATCCGTCGATTGACTTTTACCAGAATCGGTACACCTTCGCAGTGTGCTGTTTGTTGTTGTCTCCATCACACGAAACACCAATTTCAGGTCAGAAGTACCTAGGTCGAGGGATGACAGAGATCAAATAACGTACGGAATACACTTTTTAATGCGAAATAAAGAAAAGAGTCAAGGAAGGTTGCGGGTTGATTTGGTGTATGCTTATTATCCTACGAGGGCTTGCCGCCTCCATGTTGTGGACCGGGGCGCTGTTCGCTGATATCACACTCACAGGGGTTCCGTAGCTCAGTGGCAGAGCGTGCGACTGTTAATCGCGAGGTCGAGGGTTCGATGCCCTCCGGAACCGTTCTTTTTTGCCAAACAAAGAAAAATCGAAAGAGATGGAAAGGGTCACCACTCCTTCCCCCGTGGTATGACCTACCCCGGCTGTCTGTGTGTGCTGTTTGTTGTTATGTCTCCATCACACGAAACACCAATTTCAGGTCAGAAGTACCTAGGTCGAGGGATGACAGAGATCAAATAACGTACGGAATACACTTTTTAATGCGAAACAAAGAAAGCACATTAGAACAAAAGAGTCAAGGAAGGTTGCGGGTTGGTTTGGTGTATGCTTACGCTACGAGGGGGTGCCACCTGCATCTCCGCCGGGGCGCTGTTTACTGTTACCACACATATGCGTATGAATACAAGAAAACATTGAGTCCATCGCCAATTTATCTTGAGTGTTTTTTTAAGGATGATGTAAGAATAATGTGTGTAGACATGAAAGAAAATACTCCGACACTTCAACGAGTCTGTCTCGATCGGCATCGTCATGTCATACTTACTTACGTTGTGCGTGCCGCTAATGATTGATGTGGTCGATACTGTGCGCATACGCGGTTCGTTCGTCAGGATTGCAAAGTGTCAGAGAGTGAGTGCCCCAAGAGGGAGACATGGAAATTGGTGGGCAAGGGTTGACAGCCAATAAATCAAGCTTCTTCGTGTTGTTGGCTCACTCTAACCAGTTACCTGTACCTTAAGGTAAGAAGTCCTTACGAGGAGACCGACCGGCGTTGCTGCATCAGACATGTGATAGTGGAACGTAGGCGGGCACACAACTTACATAGGCAAGTGTCGTTCGGAGTGCGTTCGTCCATGGGTGCATGTGCGCAGTGCGCTACGTCACGACGCTGGCTATCAATAGTAGAGGAAGCCGGATTTTTCTCGTTCCATCCAAAGCACACGGAGAGCCGCCTGGTATCGCTCACAAGATAGCAAGCATGGCGGATTACTTACAGGGATCGGGGGACGAAATTTTCTACATTGTGAAGACGAAATTTTGTGGTTCCATGAGGAATCTTCACAAACAAGACAAGAGGCTCGCGACCGCTGGGTGATGAGCAAGCCGCAGACATTTTATTCTTCGTCAACACGCCTCTCCCAATCGCCACCTACGGACCGAGTACGAAAAATATTGGGACTGCAGCACCGCATAGGTTGCACGGGCGAAACCTTCGACGAAGCCTACATGCTGCATAGGTGTAGGTAGAAGGTGCCGGGATACGCGTCTGAATGCATCCATCCTCCCAAACCGCGAAACAGGTGGACAGCAGGACTCGACGACCATAAATGTAAAGGCTTTCGCGACCGATGTGGCGGGAGGTGGTCCGGGACACGGGGGCACGCAGGCCCGCGATGGTTGTCCGTTCTCTTCCCTAACCTCCACCCCGTTGGATGTTTGGACTGTGGTTCTCTGCCACAATCCATGCATTGCAAAAACGTGCGCTCCTGTTCACGACCTCCTTTCCACTCTCTCAGCGGCAACGGTTTCGTCGGAAATCTCCGACTCTACCGACAACGCCACCCCCCCCCCCCCCCCCTCCCCCGGGCAAAAATTTGTGTTCCTGTTGGCTCTGTACCTGCCAAGGAAATATTGGGAATGCCCCCAAAATTCTTAACCCAAAAAAACGAAAAAAAAAAACATCCCTTCAAAGTTAAAAAGGATTTTTTAAGGGCACATGTTTCCCCAAAAACCCCAAAAGGAAATGCTGCCCCACGTTTAAAATAAAACTCCCTGCCCAAAAAATTTTTTCCAACCCGCCCCCCAAAAAAAAAAAACTTGCTGCCTCCCCTGTTGTCCTCCCCCCCCCACATGAAGAAACCCCAAATCCGCCAAGGGTGCTGAACCATGCAAAAATTCTCCTAAAAAACAACAACCCCCACCCCCCCCAAAAAACCAAAACTTTTTCAGTGCGGGGAAAAGAAATAAAAAAAATCGGAACCCAAAACCCCTCTCCCTTCCCCTTTTCA